GGAAGAAGACTGCCGGGAGTTCTTTCGAAGACATGGGGGCCGTGAGAACTACATGCACACCATCATTCACTGAGAGCCGGGAACTTTTCACTTTTTCTTTTTACCCTGTTTGCTCCTGTGCTGATTGCACTCCATGCGCTCATTCAACCTTGAGCATGTGAGTTTTACCACGGTCTGCTGACCGCAGTTTCCTCTCAAGTGGGAGGGCACTAACGCCAACAACACGCTACGCGTGACAAAGGACTTGGTGTGCCTTGGTGCTGCTTTGTCAGGAGACTTCGTTTGCTCCGAACTTGGTTTGGCATTTGCTACCATGTTTTTTTAGGCAGGCATAGAATGGCATAGATGTATGTATGAATGCATACATACATGTATGTATGAAGGTAGGTATGTAAGCAGGTAGGTTGGTAAGAATGGATGTAGAAGGGTATGTATGCCTATTTGTAGGCATGTATGTATGTATCCCTCCCTCGCCTGTGGGTGGGGGGGTATGTGGGTGTATGTGGTGTGTATCTAGGTAGGTATATATATTTTTTTAAAAATGAATTTATTTTATTTGCATATGTCATATGTGTGTGTGTATGTATGAATGCATACAGGCACGTATGTACGAAGGTAGGTGTGTAAGTAGGTAGGTAGGAACGTATGTCGGTAGGCATGCATATATGTGTCTTTGTATTTTTGTAGGTAGGCGAGTATATACGAAGGTATGTTTACATGCAGGAAGGGATTGCTGATTTATGAATTATGATTTATGTATGTATGTCTGTTTGTCTGTCTGTTTGTCTGTCTGTAATGTCTGTCTGTAATGTCTGTATGGTATGTGATGGTATGGACAGGAAATGGAATGGAATGGAATGGGTGTAAGTATGTATGTTTGTTTGTATGTATGTATGGCAATGTATGTATGCATGCATGTATGTATGTATGTATGATACTGTTTGTGCTTATGGTATTGCATGTATGTTTGGTATTGTATGTATGTATGTATGGTAATGTATGTACATATGGTAATGTATATACGTAAAGTAATGAACGTATGCGTGGTAATGTTTATATGTAATGTCATGTAATGTCATGTAATGCTATGTAATGTGATGTAATGTAATGTAATGTATGTAATGCATGTATGTCTGTAATGTAATTTAATGTAATGTAATGCCTATATGTATGTAATGTATGTAATGTGTGTATGTATGTATGTATGTAAGTAAGTATGTATGTGTGTATGTATGTATGTATGTATGTATGTGTGCGTGTGTGTTTGCATGTATGTAATGTATGTATGTATGTTTGTTTGTTTGTTGGTTTCTTTGTTTTATGTATGTATGTATGTATGTAAATGTATGTATGTATGTATGTATGTATGTATGTATGTATGTATGTAATGTAAGGAAGTAAGTAAGTATGTATGTATGTATATAATGTATATAATGTAAGAAAGAAAGTAAGTAAGTATGTATGTAATGTAATGTAATGTAATGTAATGTAATCAAATGTAATGTAATCAAATCTAATGCAATCAAATGTAATGTCAGGTAATGTACGTAATGTCATGTCGTGTCATGTCATGTCATGTTATGTAATGTATCTATGTACTGTTTGTATGCATCTTTGTAATGTAATGCAATTGAATTTATTTAATGTAATGTAATGTATGTATGCATGTACGTATGTATATATGTATGTAATGAAATGTGTGTAATGAAATGTATGTAATGTAATGTGTTGTAAGGTAAGGTAAGGTAAGGTAAGGTAAGGTAAGGTAATGTATGTAATGTAAGTAAGTAAGTAAGTAAGTAAGGTAAGTAAGTAAAGTAAAGTAAAGTAAAGTAAGTAAGTAAGTAGGTAAGTAAGTAAGCAAGCAAGCAAGCAAGTAAGTAAGTAAGTAAGTATATATGTATGTATGTATCTTTGTATGTATGTAATGTATGTATGTATGTATGTATGTATGTGATGTATGTAATTAATGTTTGTAATGTATGTATGTATGTATGTATGTATGTATGTATTTATGTATGTATGTATGTATGTATGTATGTAATGGTATGTTATGTTGTGATATGTTTTGTTTGTTATGTTTTGGTTTGTTTTTGTTTGTATGCATGTATGATTTTTTTAATTATATATATATATATTTGTGTATGTATATATGTATGTAATGTAATGTCATGTCATGTAATGTAATGCAATGTAATGTAATGTAAGGTAAGTATGTATGCATGCATGTATGTATGTATGTATCTATCTATGTATCTATCTATGTATCTATGTATTTGTGTATCTATGTATGTATGTATCTATGATTCTATGTATGTATGTATTTATGTATCTATGTATCTAATGTATGTATGTATGCATGTATGTATGCATGTATGTATGGAAGGGGGGACTGGATCATATGTAAATTTACATATTTTCAATAGATAGCAATAGATGCATCGCGTTGCAACTTCTGAGTCCGCTGCTCTGGTAACCTGGCATCCCCAAGTGGTCACTCGTCACACTTCTCGTGGCATGTGTTGCTCAGGAGGCTGCGGCCAGTGAGGCCAGTTCTCCGGCTACCCATTCTGTTTGACGCATTCAAGAAACGACACATATCCAGCTTGATCTGTGCCGACCTGTCCAGCATCATCCTGCATCTACTGATACTGTGTGTTTTGAAAATTTTGAAAGAACATTGGCATGTTGTTTTCACAAGTCTTAATCATGTTTGTTTTCTGGTCTTTCAGGTTCAAAATGGTTAAAACATCAATAGGCAGTCCAGAAACACTGCGCACTTTGGTTTGCACATGCAACCATATGTGAAGTGCGATCATGCTACATCCATCGGATTATCAGTGCCATGAGACTGAGGAACAGTATATATAAGCCAGATGCAGGGTTCACACTTTTGGACCACTTGGATCATTATCACCCTGGTCATCATCACAATGGACGTCACTATGATTCACTATGTGTATACAATCAACATCATCATCATCATCATCATAAGAAGCATTGCCCCACCAGACGGCACTTGCAGGTAGCGGCAGCAGTAACGGATCTCATGGAGTTGTACTTGGATATTTTGGATCGATTGCGCTGAGCAATCCAACCAGCCCAGAATGAGTCCCAGAATGCTCCTGCACAGCATTGGACAGCGTTTGGTCCAGGTATTTGCAAAGATGATGGGGCACAGTAGCTTTAGTGCAACCAGGGGACCAGGACAGGATAAGGAAAATGTGTCCACAATGAAGATGTCGCTCCAGGCAAGTGGGGTCGGGTCTAGCGGTGGAACACCAGACGTGTTTGGAACGGCCAAAATGAGCTACCCTAGCAGCTCAGGACAATGTAGTAGGGATATTTTAGAATATTTGATGATAGTGGAAGCTGCACATTTTTCAAAAACAGCAGATGTATATCAAATCTGCTGGGACGCGCTTCAGACTGCTGGTTACATAGGAGCTGGCAGATTTCTTTCCGGCAAATTCGTAGCTTGAGGTTTTGAGGAGGCAGAGGACAGCCCCCCCGCTGCACTTCAAGTGTCGTTAACTAGATGTGAAGTTGACCTGAGGACAAAGAAGGATACAAAAGAATACCGTATGGTCTTTGGATGTTTTTGGACATTTTAGGACATGTCATTATGGAGGACTCGTGACGGCCCTGTGGGCGTTATGCTGAAGACCGCTAGGGTAGTTGATTTCAAGGTACACCTGATCGCAGCTTCGTAAGATTGATTTATCTTACGCTGTGGCGACTGGAATCGTCTTTTCAATAGGTTTGCGTGAATCCTGCGGTGCCGTATGAAGATGCAGCAAATTAATAACTGAATACCGGGTGATATCCCGGCAGATTTTCGCTGTTGTTGCATGTCGCTGCTACATATTGCTACCTCAGAACTGTTCATTCAGAGTCTGGAAGAGTTTGGCTTTCAGGGTATACCAAACCAAAATGACCGTTTGATACCGTTTGGTTCAAAGATGCGGCTAATGCCAGGATGCGAACCACGTTTTGATTTCGGACCTTCTTTGACCCTTGCATTTCTACTCGTTCGGCGTGAGCCATGTGTCGAACTGCAGGAGTGATTTACATTGTACGCGTAGCCCGCCGTGTAATCAAGGTCTGGCAATCACGGCTGATAAATTTGTGTGTGGTTTTGCAAAATTGATGCAATTACTTGTTATCCAATTCTGACTGTTTGGAACTGGCCAGTTGGCTGTAAGTGGCTGTTTGCCTTTTGCCTTGGTTCGCTCGACTCACATCTGGCCGATATCAGTAGCAGTGGCTGTAGCAAGAGCGCAGAGCCACCAATTATATAAAACAACAAGGGTCAGTCTGTCCATCACCGGCTTTGTTTCTGACTGCCTGTGACATTGGCATTTGCATGCGTTTGCTATAAACAGCATGAATTGTGCAACACCAGCCGCACAGCTTACTGTATAATCATTTCATTGTATTTCTCATATCCTTCAGACGGCAAGTACACGCAACAAATTGACACAGGAAGTCAGCACTCCCGGGTACGAAACGAAACGATAGGGAGACTCTCAAATGCAACTTATGCAACCAGAGGGCACTTCGCGAAAAGGTGCGCGCATCACAGTTTCTTTTGCCCCTGTCCGAAAGAAGTCTGAACGCATGAAGCTTGGCCATGCTTTATCTTCGCCTGATTGACTGCAGGTAGGTAATTTGATTGTCAGAGATCTTTTGCTGATTCAAAAGTGGATCTATACAGCACATGATCATGCATTCTTTTGCACTCAAGTATAGACATCATCCATTCACAATATGTCTACCGTTCTTTATTCAATTTTTGGGCTTATTGTTTACAGCATGAAAAGATTCCAAGGGGCTGAAGGGTTTCAGCTGTAATTTATCACAATTGCTCATGGACGAAGACAGTACTCAACCTCAGCAAGAGTAGATATGGGATGATATGGCTACAATCACACGAACTGATAAAGTGTAACTTTAGCTTAGTCACTTTCAGTATACAGTCATACTGGGACATGCTTCACTCCCCTGTGTGGTGAACAGCAGCGGATGACACAGCCGTGCAAAAAACGTCCCAGACTTTGGCTGATTACCCTTGTTTGAGACTTAGTGTGCACATTATGTGTATATTATGCAAATCACGAGCCTAACACACAAGAGAACTCAGCTTGCAGGAAAGTGGGGCTCCCTCATCTTGATGCCAGAAATGTGCATACATACTGAAATTTGTTCATAATGGGTGCATTCCTGTTCTCGTCATTTCTCCTTTGCACCATGCCTGGTTTGAAGCCAAGGTCGCGTTTTTATTTGGTTGCTACTTTCCTGCAGTGTTTGTAACACCAGAACAGCCAGATCACAAGGAGCCAGGGAGTTTACTGGGGTTTGGACATCAGCCAGCAAGAAGATGCTTAAGAAGCAGTTTTGTGATGTTTCGTGAATTTCTTGACATCATCGTCGATCATCGTATTCAATGATTCTCATAGATTCTCATGTTGACCTCACAGCATCATGCCACGAGTTTTTTTGTATTTTTGCATGTGTGTGCTCGATTGTGGTTGCGACGAAGATTCAGATGATCGGGATTACTGAAATCGAGAACACATGGTGGCATTTGACATGGCTGGATGAAATCGGATGGTGTGCGGTCAACCGAGAATCTCGTGTGCTTATTTGGGCTTAAATTGAAGGTGTGGGTTGTGATGAAACTTGCCACTCATTTGAGCGAGTAGGACCGGGATAATCAGACCCACATTGGTTTATTAATTAATGATGACTCATCAATAAACATCAATCATCTAGAGTCATCAACCATCATCAACCTGTCAGTTGTTTGCAGCATATTTGGTGAATTTCCTTCGCAGAGTGAAGGGTTTTGCGGAGAATTGAAAGCCTGTCAGAGAGACACCATGCAGTGGGAGGAGCTTTCACGGCGGCAGCTTCTGCCATTGCTAGGGCAGGCTTCTCAGGGAACATCACCATGACCGTCAAGGATGGGATTATGATCAGAATTATGGGTTGTGGATCACTCGGTGATTGTTGAGTGTCATGGTGGTACATCGTCACAAGAAATACTGAAGTGTGGATCAATGCGATCCAGAATGCATTTAAGTTGCATTAGGTAGAGTGTGCAGTGTGCAGTGCTCTGTTTGTTCGGAGCTGGATTTGCACTGCTGCAGGCGTTTGTGTTTGCAAGGTGGAAAGGTGCATACATATTATAATTATAATCATATACATATATATATGGTATATATATATATTATATGTGTGTGTGTTCATTACTCTTAGACAATGAAAAACCAGGCACGTATGAAATTATATCGTGCTCGATGGTGCTCATGTCATGTCGCATATTCTTTTCTTCGCCACGTGATGCCATGTGTGTTGTTTTTGCAGTTCTGAAACCTGGGATAAGCTGGGTTTATTCAATTTTATTTACCTGGATACCGAGGCTCGCTTGCTTACCACTGGCGCCAAATTCCTGTGATGCAGAAGCGATTTGGCGCTCGCTGCCGGTGCCAGGGCCAGTGGCGCCCGGAAGTGACTTCCACAGTGAAGCGAATCACCATGTCCAAGCCGCTGCAAAGAAGAGAAGTGAAACATAAAACACTGTCACTTGCACAACTTGCACCTCTTTGTTTGCCTCGATATAATTGCATCGGACTCGGCATACAAAAAACATCGTGCTTCTGAGCACATTTTTGGTGCCCTCTTCGGAACATACCCCCGCTGAACATGCCCCTATTTTGACATCACTCCATTGAGAGCTGCAAATTTGCCATATTGTTTCCAGCTTCTGTTTTTGGAAGACCAGCTCGAACATGTCTCGACTCCGCATCAAACATCATCAAACAATTCAACCCTTCTATCGTTAACGCAGGCAGCAAGCATCCAAGACATCCAAGATGCCTACCCTGGCCGTTTTGTGGCATATTTGATGCCCGGCAGAAGTGGCTGCGAGCTTCGAAGGTTTCTCGTTCCATCTCCATTTGCAAAAATCATCAAAACATATCAAAATGCTCAGGACTCGCTTTTTGCTGAATTTTGATTCCGACTTCCAAGAGCTCTGGAAGGCTACCAAGGCATTGTCATATCCTGTGATAGTTGTGGTTTATCGGTTGGTACATGCCTGTGAAACAAGTCCGGAACACAACAAAATTAGGCCGGCAATACATTTTCAAGTGACATGTTGGCGATTCTCTGTCGAAGACCGCATGGGACAGCATGTGCAAGCATTCACGGAAAGACGCAACATGTTTCAAAATGTGTCCACGTGTTTCGGCATAGTGTTTGATACAGCCAATGTGCAAAGACAAGGTTCTGATAAGCGCTTCCCACTTGCTGTCATTGCACTTGCTGCACTTGCTTTGCCTTCTCTTTGTCCCAAAGTTTGCATATTATTTGTCCGAGTGCAGGGCAGGGTGTGACGACATGTTAAATTGGTCATGATTCATGATCACATTCTCACGGAGTCCAGCAGATCTTAGGGCAAGCAGCTTTACCAGGATACACTTGATCTTCATTTCTGCCAGGAAGCGGAAGTCAGCCTTGGAAATTTGGAGTCGCAGGAATTTCAGCGAAATGCACGCGGGGAATCTCAGACACGCTTGTTGCATCTTTATCGTACCAAAAAGCATCCGTAAAAGCCTTAAAACAAACATCAAAAAAACAAATCAGGCAATGTACTTTGACTGAGGCTTAATAGTGGTCAGGCTTCAATGGTTCATGTCAGTAGTGAAATACAAGCTTTCTTTCAGTTGTACTGCATTGATGTCTACTATTGATAAGTGATGATGATTTTTGAGGTTTTGCACGGTTTTCGCGAACTGTGCAGCTCTCGCTCTTAAATTATCCTCCAGACAAGAGCCGGACGCTGCTGGCATCCCGGCATTGGCTTATTTCACAGGTCTGCACTGAGCTTTGAATAATGGAAAGCTGATTTATGATGTTTCCAGCTATGTGTTGATTGATTTTGTATGAGACATGTTAAGGCAACTTACAGAAAATATTGAAAACACAGATGATGTGATAATTATCTCTTGAAAGACCTTGGAAATTGTTGGGAAAATTTAGCTATTTCAAAGTTATTTCTGTGTGATTTTTGACTGCGCTCTGAAGATTCCGCAAATGGAAACTGTTTCAACTACCAACAGCTTACATCGGACAAGGTGTAGGGTGTGGCTCAGTTGGGCTCAGTCTGCTTAGGATCGCGCAATTGCCTTGTTTTGTATGACTTTTGAATGATCGCTGCATTGGCGCGTGTTTGCATGCCGTGTTTCACGAAAGCTAGCGGTAGCTAGCTGGAGTTACTCTTGCTTCAGGAAGGGTAGGGGCAGGTCTGAGTCTAACACAGTGATTTTTAACTCGAACCCCCCCTAAGCTCCCGGGGCATTTTGAAGCGGTGTTGGAAGCAGATGGTCACGAAATCCCATCATGTTTCCAGGCTCATATGAACCTTAGCTTTCGTTCACCCCCCCTTGGGCCTCAAGTATCACACCTCACGGGTTGCCCGACATCCATCAGCGTCCAGCTAGGAAGTGTTGCTGAAAGACTACGGGATCACAATGGAAGCGAAGCGTCAGCAGCCTGGCAGCACTGCCCAGCGTCAATATTGACGAGCAACGCAGGACTTCTTAGAGCCATGGGATTCAAAAAAAAGTATTTAAGGCATCAAAAAATACATATTTAAGGCATCAAAAAAAATATGTAAGGGATCAAAAACAAACATTTTTCCTGCGCTGGTGCAGTGTTTTGGCCCTTTTATGCCATTTTCAAATCTTGTGGTCTTTGAATCTCCCGGTCCCTCAGTCCTCTCCCTTGGTTTTTCTGGTCCCTTGGTTCTCTGGTTTCTTGGTCTCTGTTTTTTTGGTCCCCTGGTCCCTTGGTCCCTTGGTCCTTTGGTCCCTTGGTCCTCTGCTCCCTTGGTCCTCCGGTCCCTTGGTCCTCTGGTCTTCTGGTCCCTTGGTCCTTCTGTCCTTTGGTGGCTCTGGTGCCTTAAAAAAAATATTGAAGATAATCCTTAATTCAACCAGCCGTAAAAAACTCTAAATCAGCCTCAATAACCCCTAAACTACCCCCAAGCCAAAGTAAGTCTTAAACGAATCCTAAACCAACCCTCAATCAGCCCTAAACTAACCCTAAATAAACCCTAAACAAATCTTACATAAACCCTAAACGAAACCTAAACGAACCTTAAATAAGTGGTAAGCGAAACCAAAAGCAACTTTAAACCAATCGCAAATAATCCCTAAACTAACCCCATATAAACTGTAAGCCACCCCTAAAAACCATAAACCAATTGTAAATAAACACTAAAGAACACTTATTAAACAAACAACGAACCAACCCTAAATAAATCCTAAGCAAACCCAAATAAACCACACACCAACCCTACATAAATCCTAAACCAACCCTGAACCAACCAGAAATAAATCACTAGACCAACCTTAAAGACACCGGAAACAAGACCTACATAGACTTTAAACCAACCCAAAATAACCCCTAAGCCAACCCTAAAGAAACCCTGAACCAACCCGAAATAACACCTAAACCAACCACGAACCAATCCCAAATAGATCCTGAATCAACCCTAAATAAACTTTGAGCAGCACCTACACAAATCTTAATACTAACCCTAAACAAACCCTAAAACCAAACCTAAATATTCCCTAAACAAGTCTTGAACCAACCCTAAATAAACAAACAAACAACCTTCAATAATCTTCAATAGATCCCAAACGAAACCTAAACCACAAAGTCTTGAACAAAATCAAGATAAACCCTAAACCAACCCTACATAAACAACAAAAAACCATAAATAACTTTAAATAATATTTGAACGAAACCTAAATAAACCTTTTACCAACCCTGAATAGACACCTAGTAAACCATAGGCCAACCCCAAACTAACCCTTAACCCACCTAAGTCAACGTAATAGGCATCAAACCAAGCCTAAATCAACCCTAAACCAAACATAAACAAATTTTAAACCAACGTAAGTTTCAAAGAAACCATCGAACATCAAAAAATCGAACTCCAAAATGTTGCAGGTGCTGTCGAAACGGCAGCGTTGAGCCCTGCGAATGCTCGATTTCTAGGTCCAATGTCCTGCAAAAACCTTACGGGCGAGAGGCTCCACTTCCAACGGTTTTGTCTCCAAACTGTTGCAAAAGCCATAGAAAACAAGGGATTGGGTAATATTTTTTTGATGTTATTAAATATTTATGTTTTGATCCCCACGGGAATATTTTTTTTGATGCCTCAAATATTTTTTTTTGATCCCTCGCCCCTTCTTAGAGGAGACTGAGAGAAGCAGCATAGTCATAGAAATCTGATGACATGGTCCCATCTATATAGTACATGTGGATACATTTGGCATACTCGCCTTTGCCTTTGACAGTCTCCCTTTGGCGAAATGGCGGTGGAGAGGGAGAGAGAGAGAGAGAGACAGAGGCAGAGACAGAGACAGAGATGGAAAGTGATTTGGCACACTTGATATAGTCATAGCTTGCTTGCAAAGATTTTACAGGTTTAATCAAAATATATTAAAGTATGCTGTTTTAACGTTCAGTTCATTGTCACTTCTTGTGAATTTATTGATATTTATCGAAGGAAGTTTAGAAGTCAAACTTCCGACCATATGGACAGATGAAAAGCGGAGATGGGAAGAGTCAGAGAAGAGAAGAGAAGAGAAGAAGAAAGAAGATCAAAAAAGAGAAAGTGTCAGAAGAAAGAAGATCCAGGCGCGCGAAAAGGTAGGAAAGTCGCGACACATTGTGTTTTTCCAAGGTAGGAAAGTCGCGAAGTACTGTGTTTTTCCCATGATTCGTGGCTCCGGAGGGTCGAAAAGTAGGCTCGCTAAAGCGCCGGGTGCGGAGCCATGTGGTCAGATGAGAGATGAAAAGTTGCACGCCGTTGTGGCGCGAAGCACATTTCCAAGTCAAAATGTGCAAAACACCGCAGCATCGGAGCACTTTGCGAAGTTGCGATGTCAAAAAAGTGCACGCCGTGGTGGCGCGAAGCACATTTCGAAGTCAAAATGTACAAAACACCTCAGCATCGGAGCACTTTGCGAAGTTGCGATGTCGAAAAGGTGCACGCCGTTGTGGCACGAAGCACATTTCGAAGTCAAAATGTACAAAACAAACCATGCTCGGACCACGTTTGGAAGCTGAGATGTCGAAAAGGTGCACGCCGTTGTGGCGCAAAGCACATTTCGAGGTCAAAATGTTGAAAACATGTATCCCAAGTCTCAGGGATTCATTTTTGAACTTTTTTGCAACCAGTCTTTTAAATTCTTTTAATCTTGTTTTGAGATTCAAAAGGCATTTGATCATTCCAGTATCCAAAGCCTCAAGGGTTTTATTTTTCGATTTTTTTGGGACATATGTTGTCCATTTTGCCAAAAAAAACGTGATTGGACTTTACCCCATGTCAGGTCATAAGGTTATTATTGTCGCGTTTTAATGTTGTGAAAACATCACCAAGATGTGGCATGTCAACCCATAGTTTTTCATTTTGGCAAAAATATGTTGCCCCTATAGGTTTTCAACCAGGTTTTTGGCTGAAAACCTTTGTGCTGCCCTCTGTGGCACATTCAACGGGGATTAAAAACACGACATGTTCGGACAACTTTTGGAAATTGTGATGTCGAAAAAGTGCACGCCGTTGTGGCGCGAAGCACATGTCGAGGTCAAAATGTTAAAAAAGTTACATGTCCGGACCACTTTTGGTCGTTTCGCGTGGCAGGCGCAAGGGATTGAGCACCTTGTCAAAAGTGAGCAAAACGTGAAGGTTTTGTAGCATTTCCAAAAACAATGGCAGGCGTGGGACATTTGAAGAGGATCTGGCCAGATGCATTTCCGTGGCAGGTGCGGTACAAGAGACATGTTCATCAGAGATGTTCGGAGGTCCGGGCGCTGATTTCCTGAGAGGCATTGCATTTTGGAGCATCAGGTCTTCAGTTTTGGGAAGATGATTGTGCGTGACAGGTGCAGCACTTCGTATGACCTGGCATCATTTTCGTGGCAGGCGCAGTACTTTAGACAGGTGGAGTGGAAAAATCGGAAAATGCATTGGCACGAGGCCGTCAGCTCTGCAATCAATTTTCCATTTTTGAGGTAAGTCTCGCAGAATTGGATCGTTTTTGATGTTGTCAACTTCGAAGCGCGGAAGTCTCGCAGAATTGTTTCGTTTTTGATGCTGTCAAGTCAAAAATTGAGGAAGTCTCGCAGAATTGTTTCGTTTTTGATGTTGTCAAGTTCAAAAATTGAGGAAGTCTCGCAGATTAGCTTCGTTTTCAAACTTGCAGATAGATAGATAGATAGATAGATAAACAGAAAGACAAATAGATATGGATATATATATATATATTTAATTATATATATATATATAGATGGACAGATGGATAGACAACTGCAACTGCACTACACCACAGTACAACTACAACTTCAAAGTAGAACTGCACTACCACTACAACTACAACTTCAACTACACTTCAACTACAAGAATTACAGCTACAACCACAACAAAAACTTCAACTAAACTTCAACTACAACTACAACCTCAACTACAAAAGCGCCACTGCAACTACAACTACAACTGCAACAACTACTACAACTACACCACACCTGCAACTGCAACACCACACCTGCAACTGCAACTACAGCTGCAACTACAATTAAAACTACAAGTTCAGCTACACGACAACTGCAACTGCAATGAACTTCGGCTTCAATTTCAACTACAATACTACAACCACAATTACCGCGACACTACAAATACAACTACAGCTACGCTACAACTACAACTACACTACAACTACAGCTACAACTACAACTGCAACTCCTACAACTATTGCAAGGACTACACTTGCAAAAATTAAGACAATTGCAACTACACTTCAACTACGCTTCAACTACACTACAACTACAGCTACGGCTACTACAACTACAACTACAACATTACAACTTCAACAACATCAACCCCACTACAACTACAACTACAGCTGCCACGACTGCACTACACCACACTACATCCAGGAGTTGTGAGTGAGGCGACCACTGCAACCATTGCAACCACTCCAAAAAACACAACTCCAACCACCTTTCCGTCCATCAGTGGATTAGCTCTGCCATCCGTGCAACACAACAACTCACCTCTCCTATAGTGTCCTATCCTTGAAACTTCCGCCACCGCCTTGCGCGGTACTACTGGTAATGAAGCATGGTTTAAAGTATGTAGTCGCTATCAACTAACTACTGATCTCGGACCTCGATGTGCCAAACGACCCCAAATAAATAAATAATTCAAATATATAATTGTTTTATATATATACAAGATAAAATTGTAAATATAAAAATGTAAATATTTAAGTAAGTGATTGCAATGGGTGGTTCCTTGCCGAGAGAGAGGGGGAGAGAAATGAACGACAACGAACGGATCCACTAAAATGATGAGAGATTGACTTTGCACCATCGATCCCGCAGAGCAAGGATTTGCGTTCTGCACCCCGGTTGCATTTATCAGTCAGCCAAGAACTACACAATGCTAGTGTCACACAAGGTCCATGTTTTGTAGCCGCATTTGTGCACCGATGCAGCTGACACAAAGTTGACCTCAGGTTTTCGCTCCTTCAGGGGCCCCAGCAGCAACCCGTAGCGGAACTCAGAACTCTGCTAAGACAAGTCGAGCATCTTGACCGCAAACTGGTTTGCGAGGACGCTGTTGCACAAACAAGGTCCAAACAGTGTGGAGACACACATGTCATTTGCTATCATCGACGTGCATTCGCAGGGAATTCGATGGACGGAACATCAGAAAATCAGCCTGGAAAGTGTGGACCTCTCGTCAGGAACGCATCCATTGCCCAGGCACGGGGCTGCCTCCAATCATTGTGTAGTCTTGGTTTGCACACATTCTTCCGGTCCGCACTGCAAATTTTCTTGTTAGCATGGGATAACTCGGTCACGGATGTCTGTTTTGCGGGAAAAAAGCACACACACACACACACACGCACGCACACGAGGGAGATTTGGATAGCACGTGTAGCAAAGTCATTGCTCAGGATTTTGCCCATTGTCAGTCAAAATGGTGGAGGATCGCCTTTGTACATGTATGAGCAGATGTGATATGGATGTATGACTGATGCATGTATGATATTGTATGATGTGAAGTACGGTAATGCATATATTGATATATGGGAGTCGATCTAAAGGTCCATGTAGGGATTGTCAATTACAAAGGCCGCCAGTGTTACAATTACAACATAAAACATCGCAAAAGTTTTTCTGAGTTCGCCAAAATAATGAAGTAACTGTTTATTTGGCGAGAGAAATGGCGAACATTTATTTTGATGAAGTGGCTTAAGCGGTTTAATCTCTTATTTTCCTAGGTGAAGCGAAAGCCTTCTGAGTTGTTATTGGCAGGCAGAGAATAGACCCAAGCACTATATTGTAATCAAGTGGAGCTGAACCCCCAACCACGATTCAGGGTGTGGATTTTTCGGTTGATTTGCAAAGGTTTTTTTTTGCGAAAGTTTCACGAAAGTTCCGCGAAAGCAGTGGCGAAAGAGAAGGTGTCTATGGAAGCCAGTGGCCGGTCAGTAGCCCACACAGCACCTTTGCAGCGACAAGTCAAGGGAACGTGGTAAACAATGAAACTCTGCTGCTATTATTTCCTGGTGGAATTTTCCCAACATGGCCTTGCATCTACCCTTGCGGCTGTTTCCCAGATCGCTCACACAGTACCGTTTGCATGCTGTTTGAGTGCGCCTCAACAGCACAAAAGTGGATAGCTGCAACCCCGCGGAAAATATACATTGGGTTCGCCAAAGTATTTTTTATTCGCGTTGAATGGCCGATTGCAGATAAAGGAAGCCAGATCAACCGCTATTTAAATATTGTATGTAAATATAACTAGTTATTTTATATCAATCGAAGGAAGTTTAGAAGTCAAACTTCCGACAACATGGGCAGATGGAAAAGCAGAGGTGGGAAGAGTCAGAGAAGAGAAGAAGAAAGAAGATGAGAGAAGAGAAAGAGTCAGAGGAAAGAAGGTGCAGGTGCACGAAAAGGTAGAAAAGTCGCGAAACATTGTGTTTCTCCAATGATTTGTGGCTCCGGAGGGTCGAAAAGTAGGCTCGCTAAAGTGCCGGGTGCGGAGCCATCTGGCCAGATGAGAGATGAAAAATTGCCGTTGTGGCGGGAAGCATATTTCGAAGTCAAAATGTGCAAAGCACACTCTTCTCGGAGCACTGTTGGAAGTTGAGACGTTGAAAAATTGCACGCCGTTGTGGCGCGAAGCGAATTTCGAAGTCAAAAGTGCAAAAAATTGACGGGTACTGTACGGGCACTTTTGGACGTTCAGATGTCCTTTCGCGTGGCAAGCGCAAGGGATTGTGTGCACCTTGAAAAAAGTGAGTAAAAAGCGTGAAGGATTTGTAGCGTTTCCAAAAACGATTTGCAGGCGTGGGACATTTGAAGAGGATCCGTAAAGGTGCATTTCGCGTGGCAGGCGCAATACAAGAGACATGTTCATCAGAGATGTTCGGAGGTCAGGGCGGAGATTTAATAACACGTTGCATTTTGGAGCATGAGATCTTCAGGTTTGCTAAGATGATTTTGCGTGACAGGTGCAGCACTTCCTGGCATCACTTTTTCGTGGCAGGCGCAGCACTTTAGGCACATGCAATGGAAAAAACGCACGACATCTTGGTACGAGGCCGTCAGCTCTGCACTCAGCTTTCCATTTTTGAAGGAAGTCTCGCAGAATTGCTTCGTTTTGATGTTGTCAACTTGAAAAATTGAAGACGTCTCGCGGACTTGCTTCGTTTTTGATGTTGTCAAGTTCAAAAATTGAGGAAGTCTCGCAGAATAGCTTCGTTTTCAAACTTGCAGATAGGCAGATAGATAGACAGACAAACAGATAGATAGATGAAAAGCTACAACTACAACTGCAACTACAGCTACAATACGCTACCACTACAGCACAAAAACAAATACACATATACTACGCTACAGTACACTACACTACACTAATTACACTACACTACACTAACTACAGTACACTACGCATATTGCACTTCAACTATAACTACAACTACATCTACTATTACTGTACTTCTACAGCTACAGCTACAACTACAACTGCAACTACAGTACATTACACTACATTACACTAGTTACATTTCACTACACTACGCTACACTAGATTAGAACTACAACCACAGCTACAACTACACTACATTACACTACACTGCGCTAATTCCATCACGCTACACTACACTACGCTACACTACACTAACTGCAACTACAGCTACAGCTACGCTACTTTACTCTACACTACACTAGACCACACTGCAGCTCACAACACTACAGCACACTACACTACACTATTCATTTCACTACACTCACTACACCACACCACAACTACAACTACGCTACACAAATTACACAACACTACACTAATTTCATTACATTACAACTACAACTCCACTATACCACCATTACAACTACAGCTGCGCTACAACACATCCAGCAGTTGTGGGTGAGTGGGTGAGGTGACCATTGCAATCACCCAAAACAACACAACTCCAACCACCTTTCCGTCCATCAGTGGATTCGCCCTGCCATCCATGCATCACAACAACTCACCTTTCCTATAGTGTCCTATCCTCGAAACTTCCGCCACCGCCTTGTGCGGTACTATTGGTATTTTTTACGATTATACGCATGATTATGTATGTATGGCTTTGTATGTATATACTTGTATATATTTTTATGTGTGTATAATTTTATCTATGTGTATATATATATGATATGATATGTGTAGATATATGTGTGATCAGATGGGCTGTTAAGTAGATAATATATAGTTTTTTGCACATACACGACATGTGTGTGCGTGTGCGCTACTGCTAATGATGCCCAGTTTTTCATTTCGTTGTGTGATCACAGGTCGACATTGTAGACCCGGGCGCCTTCGTTTTCAAAGAGCAAGAGCGAGTTTGGCTTGGATTCCAGTAGCTAAAAGCTCAATGATTTGAAACAGCACAAAAAATCAGCAATGGCAGCGAATTTTGTGGAGCCAGGTCAAACGAAACGGAAGTTGCCAATGTCTCCAAAGTGGAGCTGAAACTTCCAGCGCCACCCGGGATAGGCAGTTCCATTTAGTTCGGATTGTTGCTGCTTTGTTTTCAGCCTTTGGCTTGCAATTTGCAGTCAGTCCACCACGCCTTGATGTCAATGGGCGCGAAAAACATTGTACTACAAAGAATCATTGTACAATGTCTTGGCAATACATATGAACTCAATCCCGATATCATAGAGGACTTGGGCATACGATTCTATAGTGGGCAAGTTGGTAGGCCAGGTTTTCCTATAGAATAGTACCTATCCTGTGCCCAGCTGGTTTGGGAAAATAACCGTATCCAAAAGTGAAACCAAACTTAGGGCCTTGCAAACCCAGTTTTCTATTCTGTAGGGAGTTTTTTCCTGATCACTGGGACTCAGTTTTTCATTCTATAGTGGATCATTTGTTAGAAGTGGTGGCCAGTATGAGGCTGAGTTTTCATTTTATAGGGAGGGCTAATTATTTTAGGATTTTTTTTTGATCAGGTTTAGGAATTATTTTTGGATTCCTGCTTCTCTGCTTTTCTGCTTTTCCTGCTTCTTTGCCTTTCTGCTGTTTTGCTTTTGTGCGTTTCTTGTTTCTTTGCTTCTCTGCTTTTTTGCTTCTCTGCTTTTTTTTTTTGCTTTGCCTGCTTTAAATACTTGATTTTCATGTAAGATGCATTTTGCACAGTATTTACATCCCTGAGTATCACATGACCAACCTTCTCTTGAAAACTAGCAACGTAACATGTGAGAAGATGTGCTTGCATTCTGCTTTGGGGGGAGGCGCTGCGCCCTCCCCCCAATCCCCCCCTCCCGTTTTTTTTAAATTTAAACTTAAACCCAAGTTACATTAGTCGGTTTTTGCGAACTAACCTTCTCTGGAAAGCTGACAGGATTACATGTGATAGATAGACAGACAGACAGACAGACAGATAGATAGATAGATAGCTGATAGATAGATAGATAGATCGATAGATCGATAGATCGATAGATAGAGAGATAGATAGATAGATAGATACCTCGATAGATAGATAGATAGGTAGGTAGGTAGGTAGATAGATAGATAGCTAGAGAGATAGATAGCTAGATACCTCGATAGATAGATGGCTAGATAGATAGCTAGATAGATAGATGGCTAGATAGATAGCTAGATAGATAGATGGCTAGATAGATAGCTAGATAGATAAAGAGGTAGCTAGATAGATAGCTAGATAGATAGATAGATAGCTAAATAGATAGGTAGATAGTTAGCTAGATAGATAGATAGCTAGATAGATTGCTCGATAGCTAGATAGCTGGATAGACAACTGGATGGCTAGATAGATAGATAGCTAGATAGATAGAAAGCTAGATAGCTAGATAGCTAGCTAGCTGGATAGATAGCTAGCGCCCTCCCTCAATCCCCCCCACCCGCTTTTTATCTAATCCCAAGCTTCCGCATCTGTAAATATTTGGGTGAACATGCTCGCATGTAGAACATCCCATGCAAAATGGAAGGTGAACATGCCAAAATGTGGCAAATACCATACAAAATGGAAGGTGAACATGCCCACATGTAGGAAATCCCATGCAAAATGGAAGGTGAACATGCCAAAATTTGGCAAATACCATACAAAATGGAAGGTGAACATGCCCACATGTAGTAAACCCCATGCAAAATGGAAGGTGAACATGCCCAAATGTGGCAAATACCATGCAAAATGACAAATTCAAGTTCCAAACCGTTGCAAACACTAGGCAAATGGTACCAGCCAAGAAATCAAAAAAAAAATCCCAAACCTGCTCAAAAAAAAAATCCTAAAACTATTTCACACCCATTTTATAGGAGTGGGAGGGGCGGTGTCAATGGGCAATGATATTGTAAATACCGTATCATACTGTAAGATATTCAAACATACTGTAATCGAATAAGGAATCAACACTGTTACCCAATCAGTTTTGTGCAGGGTTGAGCCTTTAAAATGGAGATCCAACCACTCTTCTAAAAAATGGTTCCCAAGGTTTTTTTTCTTGAAAGGTGCCAGCCCAGATCCAAACGTGAAACCACATTTTGGGCCTTGGAAATAGCGTGTTCTATTCAATTCAGTAAATTATTTTTCTCCTGATCATTGGGACTCAGAGTGTTTTGCTATCGTGGATAATCTTTTGGAAGTAGTGGTCAGTGTCCGGCTGGGTTTTCATTTTACAGGAGTGGGAGGGGGGAGTGTCAATGGGCAATGATAGTGCAAATTAAATACTGTAACAGAACAAGTAATCAACACTGTTAACGAATCAGCTTTTAGCAGGGCTGCTCCTATAAAATGCAAATCCAACCACTCGTCTAAAAAATGGTCCCGAAGAATTTTTTTGCTTGAAAGGTGCCAGCCCAGATCCAAACGTGAACCACATTTTGGGCCTTGGAAATACCGTTTTCTATTCAGTAGGGGGGTCTTTTTCCTGATCACTGGGACCCAGTGTTTTATCCTATAGTGTATATACTTTGTATTTATGTATTTATTTATATGACGGGTGGTCAGTGTCAGGCTTGGTTTTCATTTGATAGAAGTGGCAGGGGGGTTTGTCAGTAGGCAATAATAGTGTAAATACTGTAACATATTGAAACATACTGCAACCGAATAAGTAATCAACAGTGTTACCCAATAAGTTCAAATCACATCAAACAGTATGTTGATCCAAGTGAAGCACAAATACTTCGGTGTGAAGTGATGCGAATAATTGAAAATAGTAGTGCGTGTATCTAAATCAATAAATTACCAGGATTAAATGAATAAACAAATAAATAAACAAAACAATACACACACACATATATATATATATAATTATATATAATAGTAATAATTAATAATGATAATAATAATGATAATGATAATGATAATGATTATATATATATACATAATTATATGAATGTTTCTGAGCCTGGCCATGCTGAGGCACAGCTCCACTTGGATCAGCTCCTATAAAATGCAAATCCAATCCCCCCTCTATAAAATAGTCCCCAAGTATGTTCTTTTGTGGAATGGTGCCAGCCCAGATCCAAAAAGTGAAACCAAACTTTGAGCCAGCCTTGCAAACCCAGTTTTCTATTCTATAGGGGGGTTTTCTCCTAATCACTTGGACGCAGTTTTTCATTCTATAGTGGATAATTTGTTCAACGTGACGGCCAGTGTGAAGCTGGATTTTAATGTATTTTAATTTTATAGGAGTGGCAGGGGGCTGTTAACTTGGCGGGGTTTCCATTTTATAGGGAAAATCCCCCCTCGTCGGGTTTTCGATTCAGTTAACTGAACACCCAGGTTTGGTTCGAATTCCAACAGGGATTGAACTCATATGAACCATCAATGCTACTGTCGTCGCATGTTTTTCCTCTGGGAGAGGGATCAAAAAAAAACAAATATAACAAATAGGGATCAAAAAAAAACAAACAAGGATCAAAAAAAAAACGAGAAAGGAAGGAAGGAAGGAAGGAATGAACCAAATCCCCATTCCTTCCTTCCTTCCTTCCTTCCTTCCTTTCTCGTTTTGTTTTTTTTGATCTTTGTTTGTTTTTTTTTGATCCCTATTTGTTTTGTTTGATCCCTAGTTGTTTTTTTAATATATCTATTTGTTTTTTTATCCTCTAGCCTGTTGTGGCCATGAGGCAATGAAGAGTAAAAACAAATCGTGCGTGTTCTGTTTCAAGTGCATATGCTGAGTTGATGTACTGTACTACTATGATTGTACCGCTATGTAAATCCATGTGACTATGTGTTGACTTTGCGCTCCTTTGCAGGCGGCATTTCTGCGGTTGTTTTTGCTCAGCTGGATCCTTAAGACTCTTGGGTTGCTGTCTCGAAGTATCTTGTACAGGTTCGGATTAAGGATCGATGCGGTATGTAGTATGGCGAAAGATTGCTAGACAGCCGATAAAATTCACAAACCAAAAACTACGAAGTGCCAAGAAAATCAAGAGAGAGAGACAGATCAGACAGTCTGTGCACATCCATAATTTGACATTTGACTGTGCTCGCTGCAAAGGCTTCGGCCAACAAATGGTTCAAATGGATCGCTTGCCGTTGACTCCGTGGTCGTAACGAACAAAGGCTGTGGCTATGCCAAAGACATGAGTTTGGTTCCTAAGGCTGGGATGGAATCCCTTGACGCTTGATGATGATCTTGATATTTTGATATATTTTGATGATCTTGATGGTTGTAGTGCGTTCATTATGTTTCTTGGCGAAAACAAGAGCATCATTGGACTCGTTGGACGTGGATGCAACAGTATGAATTCTCAAGAAGTATTTTTCTTCCAAGAAGTATTTTTCTTCCGTTGTTTTGAAATCGGATGTGCAAATAGATATTGCATTCACAGTTTTCATGCAAAGCATCCAATGTTTTGTTCAATAGTTGCATTTTTGCTGCCTTCACTGTTTCGCACAGAAAAAATATGTATGGTTCTTGATTCATCCTTCCCTTTGGCATTTGCCAAAGTATCTTCTCTTGCAGCAGGTCCCAAATGTTCAAAGGATGTATTTTGGTACCTACCTATATAATTTTGAAATACTGTATAATCATATGCTATAATTTTACATAATCCCCCCAGTGAAAATTTTATATCTGTATATGAATAAATATATATATATACATACTCACTATCTATCTAATCTATCTATCCATCTATCCATCTATCCATCCATCCATCCATCCATCCATCGATCCATCGATCCATCGATCCATCCATCCATTTATCCGTCTATCCATCTATCCATCTATCCATCTATCCAGCTATCCATCTATCCATTTATCCATCTATCCATCCATCCATCCATCCATCAATCAATCAATCAATCAATCATGTATATATGTGTATATATATACTATGGGCCATAGTATATATATTACGTTATTAATTCAATTTCTGCAATGTAAAAGGAGTGGCTTTCATTTATGGTGTGTTTTGTACTGTTTGCTTGCTTCTTGAACGTGTTTGACTCTATATATATACACAAAAAATGGTAACCACACTCGCACCTATACAATATGCAGCAACTCCTAGGTTGACAATGTCCGATATGTCCGCCCAAGACCGTCAAAGTATAGTTATTGTGTCGTTCTGTATGTTAGATAAACTATGATGTCCTATGATGTCCCTTGTTTCAATGTTTCAGATGTTGTCCCATTTTCTCCGCGTTATCCTGGTATTCCGTTCTAGGCTTGGAGATGTTGTTCTTGATAAGTTTTCCTTGCACGTTATTTGTAATTAGGGATAGCACATTTAGATACTACCCTTCTGGTTCTCTTGAAACAACTTGTGTATCACATAGATCTCCTTCAAGAGTTTCGGATTGAAATGTACTAGTTTTATTAACACACTTTAATCCGAAATTCATCAATCAAATCACATCACCTTTCTGCCCACTACAATTCTAATCCCTCCATGTGGTACCGTATCCACGGATGAGGTGCTTTGCGACAAAGCTCTTCCCCTAACAACTGGCACTGAAAACCATAGTCATAGAATATTATATTCTGTGGGACTAATCAGGGCTGGCGTCTCAAAGCATTGCATGGCCGTGCCATGCAATGCTGTGTGAGAGCTTCGCTCCGCAGGTTGTGCTGCCGGCTCTTCGGCGAGAAGGAATTCTTTATCCAACGGGACCAAACCAGAGACATGTGTTTTAGATGTTAAAGCAGACAGAGGGTGTTTACAGAAGCAGTCCACTGCGTTTGCACAGGCTGAAAAGAGTATGAATCGTCGGTAGTCGGGGGGTGGATACTTTAAACATCTTTAAACCTGCTGGGACTGGACTAGAAGGGTTTTAGTCGCCTTGCATCATGTTCCTTGTGCAGCTTGACTCTTTCATTCGAAGGGCTAGTGGTCAAGTGGCCGGAGTGTGAGAGGAATAGACGTAGGCTCTCAGGGTTGACTGAGGCAGACTTGAAGATGCTTCGTGCTCCGAACCTGACTGTCCAGCTAACTCGGCCTGCCCGTCTCGCGCGCATGCGGGAGAAAGAGGCTTTGCTCGGCATTTGTGTGTGAGGTAGTCAACTGACTTACTATTCATACCTTTTTCCAATCAGCCCAAATCAGCCCCCATAAAACAAAGTCATACACACACGCACCCTTGGTTTGATGAGGAAGCTGTTGCTGTTGCAATGTGAACCATTGTGATGCTGATGATGCACAATTGACTTGATGACGATAGCACCGCGACCTGCTTGTAATGGGCAATGGATATGACAATGCTGCGGAGAAGCAAAGCTGTTGGCCTTGCCAGTTATTTGGGAACCATATGGTTTGCAAGAGGAAACTTGGGGAGAAAAAACATTTTGTGCCATTTATGTTCAGAAGAATGTGTTCAGAAGAATGCTTCGACCTTGCATAGGCCCCTCCTGATCAATTGAAGAGCGGCTGAGCGGCATTGTGCTGTACTTCTTGGATTTGCCAAAAATGCAAAAGCGGGAGTATGCAGTATGTAGGAGTGCTGTCTGCATCCTCGTTTGTTCACTGTCACTCCACAAACTTTTGGGCTCCTAACATTTGGCATTTGGGCGAGTGCAAAACACCTTCAGACTTTAGAGCGTCCAAGCCTTATCAAACCTTCAGGCAAGATGACAAATCTTCTTCCACCGTTGCTGGGAAGCAAGTTGGCCCATGACAGTGGCACCAGCTGGCACCACGTTGGCACCACTAATCTCCAAATTCCTAGAAGTGGACATCACTTGTCCTTGAGACTTGTAGGTTCAAACTGACTGTAGAAGAAGGAACATGAATGAACCGAATGTTCTTTCTAAGACATCAGCTGAAGCTATTATTTCTGGTTGACCAGTTGTGCTGGCAAGCTTGGTTTAGGATGTCCTTTCCAGAGTAGCTCTCTTGTTCTGAGGTTTCTTCTTCCTGTGTACAATGCCAAACTTGACCGCCTGGTGCGGACCTAGACGGGTATGGTTCTTATCATATCTATTCATATCTGATGAAGTTACCAGATGGTCTCTTGCAATATGTTCCAATATTTATTGTACATGAGAAGAGCTTGATGTTTATGTCACTCGGCATTTGGCTGTGTAGCCAGTCAGCGGAAGATGAGACATAAATGCTGTATAATACAGTATACTACAGTATAATACAGTATAGTATAATAGAGTAACAAGCTGTCAGAAACTGTCAGAAGTTTAGGTCTGTTCAGCTTCTTTGCCGTCGGATATGGCCTGCCTGGGAAGGTGCCAGATCAGAGTTTGCCTTTGACACCAGATCCAACGCCACCAGAAGAGGGAAGGCGTTTGGACGAGGTTTTCGGCACTGGAAGGCCTAAGTGCTAGCTGCTAGCATGATGTTGCTGAGATGCCTCAGATTGGTGTGGATGTATAATCATGATTAATCATGTGCATGTCATTGGTCACCAGCGCATTGCCAAGAGCCATTGGCTGGCCATGCCTTGTATGTCATGGTGACAGCCTTGTCTCCGCATTGCTGATCAGATTCTTTGCTGATCAGTTTTGCACAGGATTATGGATTTGGATATATATATATACATACTCTATATATATACTATATATATATATATATTTGGATCGATTTTTACTGATGATATAGAATCTATTGATGGGATGGCGCATTGCAGGCAAGTGGACCGATTTCGGGCTGACTTTGTTTTTGCCGAGCTCCGTGGATGTGGTGGATTTGGTTTCTATCGGTTTCGATTATTTTTGATGCAACTTTTGAATTGGCTCTCAATATCTCTCAATGCTACACAGTACCTTAGATTCCCTTAGATGTCACTTATCTTTTGATTGAAACGCCTGGGAAACTCGCAAGCTCGTTTGGCCATAGCAGGAAACGCTTGCATCAATCTTGATGGAGTGCATCAATCTTCAAGTCAGTATTCTTGCTTGTGAGGTTTGATTCGACATATGGTCCGGTTGGAATCTCGCCATTGGAGCGAGAGCGGCAACTCTTCCCCTCGGACTATTTCCGACTCATGGCCTCTGGTGCTTTAGCAAGTGTGGTGAGGACAGAAAGCTCATGACAGTCCCCATCCAACTGTTGCCGTCTATCCTAGCTAGCAGATGCTAGCAGAAGAGTGTAAATTTCATGGAAGTTTGCCTTGCTGAATTGGAAGATATTGGAAGGCTGACGTGGCTTTTGCAAGCTAAGAAAGCTATGCTTATGATGCGCTTCTAGATTCCACGTCCCTAAAGTCAGGTCAACATAAGCCAGCTGTATCGGTGGTATCAAGCAGTGCTTTTGCTTGTTGGATCTTTTGGGAGGACAATCCTCTTTCTGCCAGTCCAGACTGTGAAGGTGCGCCAAATGCAACAAGATGTGGGGTGAAGTTTTTGTTTTTGAACAGTGTTGCTGCAAGGTTTTGCATCATACATTTCTATACATTTCTGCATATCAGATGTTCACTTATCTTTGGTCTGGTTTTGTTTGGGGAAGTGGGGAAATCTTGAGTTCTCCCCCTACACCAAAGTCTTTGATTATTTTGTTTCGAGGTTGATGATGCCTCTTTGGAAGTACTGAGTGCAGGTCATTTCAGCTGTTTAGTTTTTATCCAGGGGGTTATCACCCCGGGTCAGATGTCAGGATTGAATCAATCCTGATGCCATGTTGGCTGGGCTCCCACCACTCCCACCCTGGTTTATCCAGGGGTTCCCCCACAAAAAATCATCCTTCAGAGTGATCACTCTGTGCTCATCTGTGCTCACAGGATCAATTTCAATCAATTTCAACAGATCCAGTTGTGTTTGATGGGGGAGATTTGGCGATCAAGCTGATGGTCCGATGTGTTTTTTCAACTATTTGATGGTCCGATATGGTCCGATGATCCTGGTAGATCAACCAGTTGTCACATCCATCCCCATTTACCAACGTCGTTCGGGGATAGATTGAAATGAAAGCGTTGCATTTAGGGCGGGCATGTGATCACATGGACGTTGCGAGAGCTTGATTGTCATGCATATTCCTTGGTTGGATTGTCACATGTGTTTTTTGCATTTGTTTGAATGATTTTGTTAAAGTTACCGAAATATGAAAGCCTACATGACATGGGCGAAGTCAAGTGCCATACACTGACGGCATGACACCATAAACTGCCATAAACCATGAAACCATCGCATGAAACCATCTACTGACGCTTTAAGCACCTTCACCGTTGACTACAGAGGGCATCCTGCTTGTCTCGAGTTTGTGCGTTTGCTTGTTCATCATGCTATTTAGCAGTATGTAATAGTATATAATATATATATATAATTATATATATATGTATGTATAGCAATGTTTGCTGGCATGGTTGATGTTTGTTCGTTCTGTCTTCAGTTCGTTGATTGCAAAAGAGGCAAAGAACTGGTTGACTCAGCAACCAAATGACTGACTAAACTATGCTTATGACATTAACTATGCATATATAATTTGTAGGTATATATATATAATTATTCTTAGTGTTTTGCATGTTTGTCTTTCAAATTTGTACTGGGGATCGCATGTCGGTGTCCCTGGGCGATCCATGAATTTCATCCATTCACCGATCGTTTGTCGTACTTCATCCATACGTCTACGTGTCTGTTCTCAGATATGATCATTGTCATGTACCATACCAAAAATACCAAAAAGCGCACAGCAAACTGAGGTCCGCATGCAGACAAATCCTGATCTTGGACAAAGAGGCTTCATTCCTGCTTTGAAGTATGTCGCAACGCCCTCTGGCAGCTGGGGAAGATTCTATATTATGTTTCAAATTGAGGGCTATAGTCTCACCCATGTCCACCTCAGAGATGGCGTATGGACCGGCATGGAAACCTATGGCAGTATTTGTCGCTGCTTCGGCCCGCTGTATTATTTGGTCCTCCTTGTTCAGACGTCCTGATGATCTGATGACCTTGTCGCAGCTAAGGTCAGAGCCGAGCAGCAATCTGTTCCGTGGCATAGTGCCCCGGTGTGCGGTTTCTGTTTTTCAACCCGACCAGACTATGATGACTATGATTACCCTAGTTCAGATGCCCCACTGTGAATCAGGATCGGTCCAAACATTAAACAGACATAATGACATAAACAGACGAATTATATATGTGTTTCAATTTGTTCAATCACGTTTATCACAGATCATGAGCCCCAAAACAACACAGGCTGTGGATTCGTTTAAAGATCAAAGGCATTCAAAGGTTATGAAATGTTTCAAAAGAGGACGTGGAGTCATGATAGGTACGTAGGTAGGCAACAGGAAAACAGTCTCTCTTTTTGCTCGAAGTGCAGTGTGTTGACGTTGTCGTGCCACAGCAATCTATTTGCTGCGCTGCTTTTAGGCGCTTTTGAGTTTGCTTCTGGTCTGTCCGATGGAATGTATCTTATAACGAATTCAACATGTTACGTTCAAACAGTCCTTGAACATTCCTGTTGCAGAATTTCAGGGTGTTAATGCCCAGGATTGTTTAAACTTAAAACGAATCCTGGTCGCAACACGTCGCACCCTTGTTTTTGAATTTCTGCGCCTTCTTGAGGATGTTGCTGTGATGTTCTCAGCCACATTTGGCTTTTTCAGCTTCGGCATCAAGGACACGAGTGCACGCCGTGTACGCATCATGTTTATCAAAAAAAACGTGCTATGCGAACTCAAAACCAGGAGTACCTCTCCCGAGAGCTTGTGTTGCTTGGATTTGTTGGGTCAGACGATCAGCTTGCCTTTTTCCGACCGTCTATCAAAGTAGGGTTCAAGCTCGAGTCAGAATGCTTTTGTATCCTTTTGTGCTATATATAATATATCTCTAAGATTCTCCAAGCACGCTTGGACTGCAGTCTTAAGGATCCAGTTTCCTGGTTTGAATGAGCTCTTTGCGGTTGTTTCTCGGCTCTCAAGTGATATCTATCCGTGGTGCGAGCTGAGTGTCATCTGAGTGTCAAAGCTGCATTTGTTTGACACTTGGTGCGTCCAAGATCCTCGCTAGCATCGCCAGCGTCGTTATCACCTTGTTCTTTGCCACTCCGTGGGAGGTACTGAGCTCTGGCTGCATGACACATGCGCGCATGACATCAGCATTGAACAGCATTGTAGATATTTTTTAGATTGCTTTTGATCTCTTTATTTTGCAGAGTATAATTATTTTATCTCAATTAAGCCACAAGAAATTATTTTTCCTAGGGGGTTGTCCTACAGCACTTTTGCGAAAGGGAAATTGCTTCGCGAAAGGTTGCAAAAGTCATGTTGTTGCTTCTTCATGACATGTTCGTCCATGTTTGTGAATCTTCAGAACAAAAAGGAACGCTCATTGTAACTGACTATGTCATATAAAACGGGCACGTTTGGGCACCCAAAGTTCCCGAAAGAACCGCGAAAGAGCCGAAAAAGATCCACGAAAGAGCCGCGAAAGATGCAATGGGGCAAGTCCACCCTGCAAAGTCTCCACTCTTAAAGGCCATATGTTTATGGTGAAAGGCCCGATATGTCCTGTCCTTTCTGCTTTCTTTTCCTTTCCTCTTCCTCTCCTTCTACTTTTCTTCTTTCCATCCGCTCTCTTCTTTTCTATTCCTTTCCTCCTCCTCAGATGGGCGGATGGGCAAACACATTGCCAATGCCAGACTTAATCTTTCTCAAGTGACTACAGGCTTCCCCCTTTCACAAGAAAGGTCCGCGAAAGAGGTTGTTGTAGCATGGGTTTCACGAAAGCCACCGGGATCCGCGAAAGACCATTATAGGTTAGCATGTATTTTTTTGGTCATTTTTTTTCAGTAAATTTTGTTGTTTCTGATATTTTGCAAAGGTTTCGCAGGCGCATGCTGGACTAAAAAGAAGTTTGCTCGGGATGCATTCTGAAGCAAATAATTGCGAACATGGGCTGAGGACTACCAAAATTATGGCTAGCAATGACCGCTATTGGGGATTTGGGCTTCTCAAAGATTTGGTGGCAAAGAACTTCCTAAAGGCAGGACATCGATCATGATTGGCTGGATGTGACAGGATACAAACTTGATGAAACGTGTTTGTTTATTTGGCATGTCGAGATGTGCTACTTGTTCAATCGAAATTAATCGGAGAGCATTCCTGAAGCGAAGCAAGAGAAGCTCAAATTTCTTTCATGTTGGTGCTTCTAAGCTGCATCAAGCTGCCTTTGCTATCACGGGACGAAATTATATAAATGAAATGAGGCCGCCCAGGAGCTGTATGAGGAATATTGGCTTTTGACCAGATGCTTGGACGGCTTGGACGTCTTGGATTCAGAGGTGTCGTGTTTCCAATTAGCATAATTCACTGTAGTATTCTAGAGGTGTCCGTGGATAAGTATTTTATACAATGGAATTGTCTTCCCAGGTCGATGGTCAAGTGGATTCAAAAACATCAGATGGACTTTGATTATATACATATTACCTTACATAACCAAGAATGGTGTCAGGTTCACAGATTAGAAAGAATGGAAGGCAATCAAGCTTGGCAATGGCCCTCACAAAGCGTTTTGATATTCAACGATTCTACCGACTGTATAGTAGTGGACCCATCATTCGCGTTGGTGATCGGTGCATTTTCTTTGACTCATGTGCCTGATTCCCAGTGACCTAGTTCTTTAAGCTGACACAAGCAAAACAATACAAAACTTTTTATCTCTGGTCCTTGTCCGGCAGTCTAGACAGGTTTCATGGCAATCAAAAGCGCAAAAAAAAATGCATTAAAGCGAATGAGAAGGTAGCAGTACAACGATGTACAACGGAGATGACGATGGAGAGCGAGATACGGAAATTGAGAAAAGAGAGGAAGAAAGACAACAGAGATTGAGATGCCACATGATGCCACTGTAACGAGAAAACACACAATTCTTCGCTTTGAGGCAAGGAGCTTGCCTTTGTGACGACCAAGTTCTTAATCTTCGACTCTTTGCGTGTCTCTTGGCGATATGCACTTGAAGTGGACCCGTCCCCTTTGCGAGTTTGCTGGAACCTTTATAATCGTCCTTACAAGCTTGAAATCCTACAGCACAGAGGCAAAATATATCAAAATATGGCAAAATCATTCAATTTCAGCTTATTTCAGACAGCTCAGTACCGTCAGGAAGCGTTGCTATTCTTCGTCCCAGCCTTTGTTGAGGTGGAAGCTTTGCAAGTTCACACTCTTTTGCACTGAATAGCAACATTCACACACCTGAAATCACACATGGTGGCCGAAGTTAAAAATTGAGAGCCAGAGGTCGTGTGCTGTTTAACATTGTTTAACGGCAAAAGTACACAAAAAGTAATTGTTGTATCCTGTCACCTTCTTGGGCAATCTTTTTTGCATGCTGGGCTGCCGTACACCACAGTGAGATTTGGAAAATTGATGTCAGTTGCCCGCCTATTGGTCCAATTCTGTTGGCATTCATTGATTGCTTTTAGTTTTTGTACATTCCTTTTGTGAGGCGCAGCCGTTGTTGATAGCTTGCCTTTGCGGTGCTTTAGCTGGGGCCTGTGGAGCGATAACATCGCATCCCATTGACACACTCTTTGCGCTCCGAACAACAGGTGTGTCACTCATTCATGCAACGATTTCGTTTGTTTTGACAAGGTTTTGGTGTTGAGATGTCATGTTTTATGATAAAATGGTATTGAGAGAATCAAATCTCGAGCAAGTTGTTTTCGTCGCAGGCCTCTTGGGAACAAGCACATGTCAGACATACGTACAGTAATTAGATGGACAAAAAAATCAGACCCTACAGACATCTACCAAGTAAACCCCACACCCAAAATTTCAATGTTGAACAAAACTCTATCTAATTTCCTCTGTGTTCAGGGTTTGATTTTTTTTGTCCACCGGTGCCAAGCGCGCAGCCCAAAGACAACATTGAAATTTGGGGGTGCGGGGGTTGACAACAATACAGCAAGGATTTGATTTCGTCGCCCGTCCATCTAGGGTATGTCAGACATGCAAAATGTATCAAAATGTCGTGTGACAATGTGTGACATTGAAGAGGGGCCGAGCTTTTTGCATAAAATTGTGAATAGAAAGCTGAAGTGACCTGAAGCGACCTGAAGTCAGAGGTGGCGGCAAAGATATCCCAAGCCTTGACAAGCTGTTTCGAGGACTCATTGACGACCAATGCACTTTCGACTTATTGGCAACTCTGGTGCGTGGTGCACTAATTCTTTTTAACTGCAGGTGCTGATTTTGTTGTTGACTTTTATTACAAACTGTTGTTCTTCTTGCGGGAGTTCTCATCATTTGGTTGGAGGAAACAGAATTCGGGAATTTAGGACGTCAAGAAAGAACTTGTGTAGGATGCTTGATGCGTGTTGCCACACATGCAAATGTGTAGGAGTTGGGGCCAGAGTGCTCATTTATTCACCTGGCATTGCGTTGACCTTTTTAGTGCAGCTTGGATCCGGGATCTCACTCCTGGTGTTGCATAGTTGTATATTGTCAAAATATGTTAATTACATTCAGTAGATACAATTCAGCAGACTCGCCATGCAATGCGTGTATATGTTTTTGTTTGGCGTTGCAGGATACAATATATATATAGTATAATATGTTGATTATATTTTATGTATATATACACATTACCAAACATCATTATATCGAATTTCACTTGTGAATTCAATTTGCATGGCATTGCATCGCAGCACACTGCCAGTAATTACACTGCATTCCATTCCATCACAGTATATACACTATGGTATGTTACAAGCAAGTGAATGCATGCGGATGCGTATACTATAGATATTTATATATATATATAGATATAGATTATTCATAAACACATAGCCAGGTTCAACATACATAAACCACGGATTTCATCCTGTAAATATGTGTATTATTGAAATTTACATGTACAAAATTGGATAAATACATTGAATGCGTGTTTCTATTCGCACAACTTTTTTTGTCCACTGCTGCCGGACATATAGAATCATCCAGTAACAGCAACAGTAACAGTAACTAAGAGCAAATAAATCGCTGACCCTTCTGGAGTCGCCAATTCACCAAGGTACGATGCTGCCAAAACATATTTGGGAGTTGGTGGCAGCGCCTTGATGCAAACCTTGGACTTGCTGCGGCCATAACTTGCCGGCGAAGATGACTTGTGATGAGTCGTGATGATTCTGCGCTTCACTGTGTCTAGCGCTCCTAAATTCTGGCGCGCTTTAGCAAGCTGTGTGCTGCAAGGGCTTTTTTTGCCCTTGCTGATCAATTGTTTGATAGTTTTATATAGTTTTCATATTCACGGGTTGAGCAGCAGAGTGCGTGCAGTGCTGCTCCCTTGCTCGCAGTTTGATTTGTTCATTTAGATAGCCTCACGCATTTCAGCGATCGTTCTCGCGATATCCGGAGATGGGAGGGAGATAGACGCTCGAAATCATGAGCCGGACGCACGTCAGCATGATCAAGGAAGTGCTCATGATTGCCCATAATTAACTGACTCGCCAGTCGTGTTTTGCTTCAGCTAAGTGCTTGCAATTGAATAATACCATCTTTTTCTTCCAGTTTACTGTTTACAGTAGATTTCTCATCCATGCTTGCACTGGTTTTGTAGTGATCAAAACATATCAAGACATGGTGGGGTGGGGCACACTTCAAGAACGACTGCATACGCAAATGCACTTCAATGCGGGCAGCAAGGATCCTATGGATTCAGGGGGCATTCAAAGATCATGCTAGAGGATGCAGCAGGGTCAATAGCCCTTTGGGATATTTATTCCAACTTGTGGTTGTGGAGTGGTTAGAATAAGTGGGATGATGGGAGATGAACGTGATGAACGTGTTGCTGCTTGCAAGTATGAAGAACTAGGATTCTTTGGGCACACATGGTTCTCAGATATCATCAGCAATGTCATGCTGGTGAGTCATTATGCACGGTGTTCATGGCTGCCAAGAGGTTGGACTGGGAGATGCATCGTCGGATCAATTTTTTAGATTCCTAACGGGAGCTCTCGCTGAGCACATCTTTGCAGGCATGTGCTTAAGACATTAGGCGATGTTCTTTGCATTTTGCACAGGATGCCGCAATTCAATGTGAGGAGAGGAGCAATAAATGTTGAGATTGGGACAGATTCTACACGTTTTAAGGGTGCCTACTCTTGAAGGTGCCTTGTGCTGGTGCCGCTCTCACAGCTGCTTTGGGCAAGGATCCTACTTCAAAAACGATTGAGACAGAGTGAGCAACCTATGCAGAACAACATTAACAGTAACAGAGCCTATAGACTCCTCGCAAAGGTTTCTTTCATTGATTCCACATGCACCCGTGGGACCTGCGGACAATTTTCGCCTGGAAAATCCTTCAGATCTGTACGGAGTCAGGGTGTTGATGCTTCCCAGGCCAGTCGCCATGGCACAAGAGCCTCACAACGCTTCGAGAAGCCCAAGACGCAGGCATAAACAGCTCATGAATTTGTACGTCTGGGCCAACAAGATTTCATCGAACCCAACAAGTCGTGGAAACCACTTGGGCCACAAGTATGCAGGTGAATTGGACTATTATTACATAGTAGCGATCACTGCCCCTTGCTTGTATATTTGCATAGCATCATCGTATGATGCTGGCAAGCGCTCTGTGTTGGTTTCTTGTGGGCAACCCGTAGCAGCGACACCAATACACACACATTGTAATGATTATATATGATTTAAACATATTTAAACATATACATACAGTATGCATAATATGAATAGCGATCACTTATGATTATTTAATATTACTTATAGATGCATACATTAACGTCGCGCACACAACATTTTTCCCAGCCTAGAGTTGTCGAGTCTTTGATGGACTTCCTTGAATCTTCATACATTGGCAAGAGACGGGCATGTGAGCTTCGCGTAAGGTGTCCAGGTAAATGTGGTGCATTTGGGTGCCACAATGGCTTCCATCGCCAAGGCACCTGCTACGGTGCGCAGAAAATTGCACACAGTATCTTCATTTTATATTAGCAAGATTTAGCAAGTTCAAATCAAATCTTCAAAGTGTAACAATGCGTAACACACAATTCACCACGATTCTGTACAGCCCAATCGTTTGCTATGTTAGACAGCAAGGTTTGAGTGACATACCTGCCCCAGTTATGCTAGCAATGCTGTCAGCAATTGCTTGCTGTTTGGATGTGGCGATCAGGCCACCCGGTGGGAAGCTGCAGTTGCGCTTCTTAGCGACTTGTCAGCAGAGGAAATAGACCGTTGAACTGTTTGGGTTCAAATAGGCGCAGGCTAAGGCAACCTTTTTTGGTATTACCCACCTGCCAGGTGAGGGTCTCTAGATTTCAACAGAACTTCCCCACAGCTCCTTGGCCTCTATGGACCCGAACACTACTGCGAGCTCCCTGGGCCTTTACCGACCTGAACACTACGAGCTTGCCAGCTCTCCGAGCTCCTACGGACCCGAACCTTATGCCAGATAGAATGTCGGATAGAATGCCAGAGAAATTGAAAGATAGAATTCCAACTAGCAGATAAAGTCCCAGATAGAATGTCAGAAAATATGTCAGATAAAATATAATATCGGATAGAATCGGATAGAATGCCAGATAACATGTCGATACAATGCCAGATAGAACGGCAACATATATGCCAGATAGGAAAGCCAGATAGACTGCCAGAGACTGCCCAATAAAATGTCGGAATATATGCCAGATGGAATGTCAAACAGAATGCCAGTGGCAACATAGAATGTTAGATGACATGTCAGATGTCACATAGAACGCCAGAGAATAGGTCTGAGATAGATTGCCAGATGATGTCAGATAGGAATGCCAGATAGAATGCCAGCTTAAACGTCAGATGCAATGCAATTTCGGAGAAGATGTCAGATAGTATGTCAGAATATGTATCAGATAAATTCAGGTAAGATTTAAGATAGAATGTAAGAATCTATGTCAGGATATATGCGACGGTGGGGTTCGCACGAAGGAACATATTGTTTCTTGTTCTGAATTTTAATACGGAATAATATCATATAGCGGATAGAGCGTAACATAAGGTGATTCAATACATTGTCTAATTTAGCATGAGATAATACACTACACAAAATCTTAGAATGCAATATAATACACTATAGTACACGTATATGCGTCGAAGCAACACTTTGCACGCTGATAAATGATAAGCGATAAGTGAACTGTCAGATTTCCAAGGTGATTGGGCGGAGTCTGTCAGCGGCTTAGAAACATCCAACTCCATAGAATTTGTTGTTTGCCTTTGGTTCCTTGGATATGCAGTAATTAACTGCAGTGCTCAAAGTAACTGGATATCTTTGGTTTGATTGATCTCCTTTCCTAAGATCCAAAGCCTGTTTCTGACATTGATGCTTGGATACTGTTTGACAGCAACATCTAGCAACTCATTTAGTCCTAGGTGACTCCCAACATACTGGTGTTCAATACGCTGATTGCAGCACTTGACAAGGTGCAGCTAAATTCTGTATCGCCACTTGCACTTGTGACCACGGGACAGGAATTGAAGCTTTCATTTTTCAAGTTCTTCCAGTGATGTTTATAGGTACTGTATCAGGCTTGCTAAGGTTGTGCAGCGTCAAGAGCAGGCCAGGACCAGGAAGCTCGATTTTCATTGTTGGCTTTGCATGTTCGTTTGGCTCGGAGCTTGGTAATTAGATGGTAAAAGAAGGCACTTCAAGCGGCACTTCCTCACTTTTAGGGAATATGTCATATAGAATGTCTATGTATTTCTCCAGTGGGATGCAGTGGTGGCATGTCGTTATGCCATGTTCACTGGCAGATCCCCCAAGCCGTCCCTTGACAGACTTTGAGACTGCATTCATGACGAGTTCTGACATGGTTTGTTTCTGTTTGAATTATTTTGGTATGGCATGATCATGTTATATCATCATATGTCATTTAGAATCATTTAGATTAATTTAGTTTAGTTTATATAGTATGTTGGTCTATTTTGTTGTTCTCTCACGTGATCAGTTCCTGCACGAGCAATGCTGCAGCCTGCTGTTTTTGCTGCAGCTGAGCCTTTGCTCAGTGCTCCAAGAAGACACAGGCCCGGTATGGTCCAGTCAGCGTAGCAAAGTTTGTGTAAGTTTGGTTGAATCCAGTTACTTTCAGAATTGCTATTGTTTGCTGATCAAGTGTTCGCAGATGTTCGCAGAAGCATTTCATTCTGACATTTTGCTGCACATCATACATGATCGTTTGTGTGTGCTGGCCGTTTTGCCTGGAATGTTGGCCGACGATGTTTGGCTCAAGCTTGATGAATCGTTTTATTGCTTTTTAGTGGACTTTAGCGTACTACATCGTACTACACTTCTAAGCCCATCCACAATGAATCAGGAGCTTGAGAGCTTCAAAGCATTGACTCCAGTTGCCCCCAAGCCAGGTGTGCAAAGGCCAATGCTTTTGCGCGGCAAGGCCGCAAAGCGCATCAAAGCGGAGAAGTCGGCTGTCTTGTGCAAGTCTGAGATTGATGCAAACCTCTTGGCCTTTCAGTTGATGAAGAATGCCATGGCAGAAGAAGCCAAATCAGCAGGAGAAGACTACTTGCTTTATGAGTCTGGTGATGATAGCCTTTATGAAATGGATGATGAAGTGCTGAGCTTGGGTGGTCAGAGTGAATCTGAGGAGGAGGAGGGAGACTTAGTTCACTTGGCATACAACTTTGCAAAAGGTGCCGTCGGGCAACGAGTGGACATCGACTTTGCCAAAGCAATCCACGATGCATCAGAAGAGATTGCTACCTGCAAGGACTTTGTTGACATCTCAGAGCTGAGTGAGGCTGAGGATGTAGAGGATTTGCGCATGAATGAAGCCGCTGCCTTGGGACGTGAGGGAGCAGGAGGAGGCGAAGAGCTTGAATTGGAAGACGCGGCAGCTCAGGACACATTTTATCACATTTTGGGGATGGAGCTGTGCCTCTGGATGTGTTCCCTTGTATGTACAGTAGTATGTATGTAGTTCCCCTTTTTTTGGATACTGTTGGAGCTATTACCACACCGTATATCGACCCAACTTTTTAGGCTGATAATGTTGTATGATTTGTATATCATATAATATAATATAATATTGTTTTGTACATGTATCATTGTACATACTCACGTTTTCACCCTTTACATCGTATGCATATGGCTCAAGAAAAACAGTTGCGCATCTTGTTGCTTTGTGGCTTGTTAGCCTGTCAAACAGGTTATCAGCCGTAACGCCTTTTCTCTAGGTAGGCATGTCTGCCCCCTCAGGTGCTTCCTCTGAGGGCCCCGGTATCCCCGTTTCCTCTGATGCAGCCATGGCGAATCCGGGAGCCTTGCCTATATCCGACACCCCATTTTCTGTTGACATAAGCACACCACCCAGCTCCGATAAATCGCGAAGCCTAAGGGACCGACGCCACTTACCATCAATGAGTAACGCAATT